GACACTCTTGTAGGGCACTCTTGCGGGACACTCTTGTGGGACACTCTCTATAGGACACTCTTGTGGGACACTCTTGTGAGACACTCTTACGGGACACTCTTTTTGGACACTCTTGTGGCACTCTCTTGTGGGACACTCTTGTAGGAAACTCTTGTGGGACACTCTTATAGGACACTCTTGTGGGACACTCTTAAGGGACACTCTTGTGAGACACTCTTGTGGGACACTGTTGCGGGACACTCTTATGGGACACTCTTGTGCGACACTCATACGGGACACTCTTGTGGGACACTTAGGGGACACTCTTCTAAGACACTCTTGTGGGATGTAGGACACTCTTGTGGGACACTCTTGTAGGACACTTTTGTGGGACACTCTTGTAGGGCGCACTCTTCGTACGAGACTTCCTCCAAAAGTCCCGCTGCGAGGCTGCAAGACGAGCGTTTCGTACGAGATTTCCTCCAAAAGTCATGCGTCAAGTCTCAAAAACGAGCATTTCGTACGAGACTTCCTCCAAAAGTCACACGTCAAGTCTCCAAAACGAGCGTTTCGTACGAGACTTCCTCAAAAAGTCACACGTCAAGTCTCCAAAACGAGCGTTTCGTAAAAACGAGCGTTTCGTACGAGACTTCCTCCAAAAGTCAAGCGGAAACACCCATCGGAGCACGCACACATCACGCAGCCCTGCCAAGCAGTTTCGCGATTACAGCCCCTCCAAACAACATCCGCCCACACGCCAATCCCAATGTGACAGCGACATTCACCTTCACCTCTACCACAACTCAAACCTCACGATTCCCTGCACCTGCCACAAATCTTTCCGCGTCCACACGTCTAACGCGCACAAAGTACTGCGCCTGCCACGAAATGTCACCTCCGTCACACCTCGCAACCTCACGATTCCCTGCGCCTGCCACAAGAATCGCACTTCCACGCCTCAAAACTCGCACAAAGTCCTGCGCCTGCCGCGAAAAGTGACAATACTATGTCATGTGAGCTTCAACAAAATTTGCACCACACCACACGTTTGGAATGATTTCGACCCGTTCTGAGCACACTCCCATCCACCAAAATCGCCATTTCAGCTGAGACTTGTCACGAAAACCGAGCTTCGATGCCACACCCTGAAACGCAAATCCCAATGGCACGGCCACATCCAACACCCCAAAAACACGACTCTCCAAACGCTAATCCCACTGGAACTGCGCAGCAATCTGCGGATCTCACAAAACGCTGCGCCTGTGCAGCGAAATGCGTCACGTTTCTTGCACGACATGTCATTGTCATGCAAATCACAATGGAATAGCGGCGCAAACTGACACGTGACACCTCCATGCAAAGTCACTTGCAAAAGCTTCCCCCAATGGCAGCGAATTTGAGACGCGACGACAACGACAAACGACGAGAGACGACGACAGACGACGAGAGACGACGAGAGACGACGACAGACGACGACAGACGACGAGACGACGCAAGCCAAGCAAACACAGCTCCAACCCCCAGACCCCCAACTATAAACGGGAACCCTTCGCTACGCATTCGGGAAAAAGAAGCGAACGAGTGTCCCAAGTGTCAATTTACAAGCAAAAGCTGGAAGCTATCGCCATCTATCGCCACTTGGCAGCTTTGCTTCTGGTTTGGCTTTGCGACTTTGCGCCCACAGTTTGTTTTTTTCGCCGCAGGCAAGGGTTTCAGGTCAAAAACGGTTCTAGGCTCCAAACATGTAGGGCAGGATCAGTATGGACATATTCAGATCAATTCTGGAATTCTGGCTGAATTCACCAAACGCGCTATGAATGTGAAGGTGAACCCCCTAAGCCTTTATTCTACAATTCTGTTTCTGCTTTGCGGGCAGAGTGTGAGCGCCGACCTGAGGGGGAATACAACAGAAAAATTGACCTGTGAACTTCAAACTTCAACACTTTATACGCACACAACTCGTCGGGCAACTCAAACTATCCAGTTTGTTAAATGCACCCTGTAGAATCGAATAGGCAAGGTTCCATCCCAAACTTTGGAGGTGGTGGGGAAGATTGGCTTGTGGCTCGGCCTCAGGAAGCAGGATGGTTGTTGATGGAGTAAGTGAAGGTTTGTTCGAGTGGCCGTTGCTTCTTGGTCGACCAGGTATTTTGGATTTGGAAGGATTTCCAGGGATATATTTTGTCTCAAGATACTGTAGGTGGTCCAGTTTTGGTTGCCATACTGTTTGGAGTGAGAGAACACAAGTAGGCCTTCAAGTGGGGTTGATGAGACATAAAATCTATAATATTCAAATCTAAACTCAACACCAAAGCAAAATCGAGAAGCATTGTGCGGGGTGGTTTCGGCCAAGGAAACACAACGACAAGAAAGCCATTGCGTGGCCTGGACCGCATTCACACCTTTCACTCCATTGCGAATCAATCCAGATCTCGATACAGCATATACTGCCTTTCGATGTGAGGTGTATTGTTTTCACAGGTGACTTCTGTGGGTGCAGCCCAACTGCGAAGTGGGCATCAAGACAGATTGGTTTCAGAAATGCTTAGGAATTGATTCTTTCAAGCTGCTTAGTCTTTTGAGGCTTTTCCTCCGGGAGCTGCCAAGCAGCGGGGTCTCCATGGCGCAGGGCACCACCGGCTTCGGGGCCACGGGCTTTGGTGGCAAGATCTCTGCCGCTGGGGCGAAACGGGAAGCAGCGGAGGTTGAGATTCACCAACGCAATGAGGGCGGACCTCTGAACAATGAACACCCTATGCTAGTTGCAAAGCCGCCAAGTCCTCTCTGAATATGTGAAGAACAGCATGGACAAGAACCCACTTAAAACCACAACCAATCGAGTTATTTTTGTTTGTGTGTGTGTGTAAGCCGTTCTAACATGCGGGTGTCGAACTATCGGAATTGAGAATTTTGAGAGCAGGGGGCGTGCGGCCATCACGCAAACGCATGCCAACGAAGCTATGCGTGATGGTGGAAGCCGGGTCTGATCCGCCTGGTGTACCTGCTGGGTGATAACACCACAATCTTCTTTGCTGTTGATTTCTTGACAAGTCAGTTTGCTTCAAACATACTGCATGATCGACATGATCGATGGTGTCGTTCACTCACATTTGACCTGTGTTTCTGAGCTTCAAGCCCACCTACTTAGGAGGTTCTGGGGTTTGCCATCATCCTATCGCTCCACAATCCTAAACCGTTCTCCAGTGTGTAGAGGGCGCTGCCAGATCTGGCGACACCGTCGAGGTTCGACGGGGACTCTATATTGGTGGTACGGGCCTTCCCATGGAAGCCTCACTTGGATGGGCTGCGTGCCTGAAGAGGTGCCTGGTTCCTGAACACCGCAGTGGTGTTGACTAGCTGCTATCATGCAAAAGACACAGTCTCACGATAGACTGTTAGTAGCTGCAATCATGCGCAGTTGCAAAGCGGCAGAAGCTGCCACAGCGCAAAGTTGCACTGCGAAGTTGATCCGAATAAGTGGATCGCACTATGTGTCCGACTCTCAGGCTTTCTACTGACTTGAAAGAAAACCAGAAGTCTTTTCTTCAGGCTTCAGGTATCATGCATTTGGAAGAGAACCAGAGGTCTTTTCATCAGGCTTTAGGTAATGAAGGTTGGCAGTCTCGCATTGCAGAAGCAAACCAGAAGTTTATCCATCAGGCTTGAGGTCGAAAATGCAATCCCTTCGGGGGGGCACCATCTGGGGTCTGCTCAGACATGCGAAGTTTGTGCAATTGATGTGCTGGGCGCAAGGAACCCATTCTCCCATTCTATGCCGTCAAAACCACCCGGTTAGGTACAAGGACTCCCCTCCTTCTAGGTTTCACAGTGTTGCCGTACTGCAAATTCACTCATCATTTCAGGTTGTCCCGGCCTTAAAACTTTTCTCAGACATTCGAGGTTTGTGCCTTTGATGTGATGGGCGCTAGGAACCTATTCTATTCTGTCAAAAACCACCTGGTTAGGTACGAGGACTCCCCTCTTTCTAGGCTTTACAGTGGTGCCGTGCTGCAAATTGACTCACATTTCAGGTTGTCCCGACCTTAAAACTTTTCTCAGATCTGAAGTCTGAGCCCTCCGTAGGGAGGGCCCTGTGTGTGTGTAAGCCGCTCTAACATGCGGGTGTCGAACTATCGGAATTGAGAATTTTGAGAGCAGGGGGCGTGCGGCCATCACGCAAACGCATGCCAACGAAGCTATGCGTGATGGTGGAAGCCGGGTCTGATCCGCCTGGTGTACCTGCTGGGTGATAACACCACAATCTTCTTTGCTGTTGATTTCTTGACAAGTCAGTTTGCTTCAAACATACTGCGTGATCGACATGATCGACGGCGTCGTTCACACACATTTGACTCCGACCTGCGTTTCTGAGCTTCAAGGCCTACTTAGGAGGTTCTGGAGTTTGCCATCATCCTATCGTTCCACAATCCTAAACCATTCCCCAGTGTGTGTCTGTGAAGCCCTTGGGGTCACAGGGAACCTTTGATTTTGATCTCTCAAGTGTGTGAAACCCTTGGAGTTACAGGGCAATCCTTGGAGACACTGGAATAATTTGTTTTGTATTTGGTTCCTGTTTTGGTTTTACTTTGTTTAATTTGTGTTTGCAGCTATGTGTCTTGTGGGCCTCCCAACCTGTAGCGCGGGCCTCCAACCTTGTTGCGATGGCCTCTACCTACCGGCGATGGCCTCCAACCTTGAATGTTTTGCGTTGTTGCAACCAACCTACTAGCGATGGCCACCCAACCTGCTTGCGATGGCCTTTCACCTTGTGATGGCCTCCAACCTAGATGTCATGGCTGTTCTAGTGTGTGTTCCTTCTCTAATAGTTTCCATGCCGGTTGCCCTTAGGGCCGGCGCGTCCGCTCTCTTTGACTGGATGCATTCCTATTCAGTCTACGGAGTTGGGGTGGACATAGACAGTTTTGTTCAGCATGCATCTTGAATTGTGTTTTGGTTTTTGTTTTTCGTTTAATTTGTGTTTGCTGTTTTGTTTCTTGCGGGCCTCCAAACCGGTAGCGTGGGCCTCCAACCTTGTGATGATGGCCCCACCCACTAGTGATTCCCTCCAACCTTATGTTTTGCAGCTGCGTGTCACCAACCCACTAGCGATGACTTGTGATGGCCACCTATAACCTCCTTGTGTTGGCCTCTAACCTAGATGTAATGGCCTCCAACCTACTTTTGTCTACCCTGCCGCCTTAGGTCTTTATTTAGGCCGGCCTGCGGCAAACCGCCCATCGTGCCCGTACGCAATATCTCGAATGTGTCTGGCTTAATGCCAGCCCAGGGTGAGCCCGAAGAGTGCTGTCTGTGGCCGGAGGTGTCCGCAGCGGACAGCCGGAGGCTTAGACCTGATGGATTATTGCGCCCAAGTAGGTCGCTTTCGAGCGTGCCATAACGTGTCCACAGCGGACTCAAGTCGCCATTTTGGCATGGCGCAAGGTGACCAGAGCGGTCAGAGCATTTTAAAAGCCAATTGAGGCACACGAAGCGCGTACATGCCAAACTAGACTAGGTCTTCCTAGGTCGCTTTAATGAGGATTGGTTTCACCGGTTTCTGGCCCCTCCATTTGGTTTCCCTTTCATTTTTCTCCTTCGCATACATTTTTTTCATGTCCTTCTGTCTTCGTGTCTTGGCACCTCAGTCCTTCTCTCTTGTGCACACATTGGTCCGGTCCTTATAGTGCGCGCGCACACTTGCATCTGAAACCCAGGTTTGGGGTCGGCCAGGTCTTTATAAGGAGGTTGGGTTCATGGGAGGTCCCTGGTCACTTGGTTTTCCTTTCATTGCAATCACACGCACCCGGTCTGTGTTGTCCTCCTGTCATGTCCTCATCCGTTTGTCTGTTTTGCACGCGCGCATGCACAGTAGTTCTTCTGCGCCTCCCCTTGTGGGGAGGCATGTGTGTGAAACTGTTAACCTTTTTGATGGTTTAGGTACAGACATGTACAGTCAAGTTGATGCACTGTTTGCTAGTTGAAAACTACTCCGCTACCGAAGCGCGTGGATCAAAACAGGCGTGCTACCAAACATGGTAGCGGAGCACTGAAGATCCCGGGCAAAGCCCCGGGGGAGGTGCTGAAAGGGCAATAGCGCTATCGTGACGCTTAGCGGAATCCCCGGGCGCGCATGGAGATGATGATTCACGGTTCGAACCTTGATTTGCTGCTGTGTGTTAGAATTCATTTTTCTGAGATTCTTTGCACTTTCCGAAGATTTTGAGCTATTCGTTGAACAAATACAGATTTGGTGGATTGATACAACATTGTGCATTGAATACCACGCAGTACTTGCAGCATTGACAGTGGTGCATTGGACAAATGTGGCATTGTGGGGAGCCCATGTGGAACGTTGGCTTAGTGTTGTGCTTGCTTCGTGCATCCGACAGGAGTTCAACAGCTGGTATGCAGTTCTCTTGGTTTCTTTGTTCACAGTCCTTTCAACTTGCACGCTTCGAATGCGCTTGAGCCTGAGGAAACGAAAACTAGGTGTCCAGCTGAAGAAGAGAACATCAGGTCTGAAGAAGAAGAAACTTCAATTTCGTGGAGTGAGTTTCCTCATTTTGATGAGTTGCGGGTACAGTTGCAATGCAATGGATGGTGACCAGTTCAGGCAATTCATGACAGGATTTGGTACATTGTTGCAAAAGCAAGATGTCATTGTACGTGGTATTACAGAGTCCCTTTCAGCAAGCTCTTCATCGACAACAGCCAAAGGTTTGGAGTCGGCAGCTCGGATCTTGAAATCCCCAGAACAATTTGATCCTACATCCGAGACAACTTGGAACATGTGGCGACACAGTTTCTTGAATTGGTTGAGCTATGCTGATGGCAGGTTTCTAGCATCGATACAGGACATTGAAAAGTTGACGCCTTCAGATGCAGTTGAAACAGCAGATTGGTCAGATCAAGATTGGGACCTAGCAAGGAAACTATACAGTATACTCACTAGCTACCTACGTGGCTCTGCATTGCACCTATCCAGATCAGAAGCTGAGAATCGAAACGGGTTCGTGTTGTGGAAGAAACTGGTTGATTACTATGCTCCAGCAACCCGTCAAAGGGCGTTGTCCCTGAGCCAGGCGATTTCGTCTTTTCCTCAGTTTGTTCCAGGTGGTGACAAGACTTTGCAAGAGCATGTGAGCGGCATGGAGACATTGGTTCAACAGTATGATTCACTCAGTTCCAAAGCTTTCGACAGAGATGTTTTGTTGGGAGTTTTACTACGGTTGTGTCCAGACAACATTCGACAGCATCTCACATTGGCGATTTCAGATTCTTCGTCATATCAAGAGGTGAAAGAGCGGATTTTTGCTTATGAAAGGAGCAGTCGAATGTGGAACGTGAATGACGTCCTCAAGACAGTTGGCAAGCAGGTGTCAAGTTCGTCGAAGGGAGATTCAGGTCCAGTTCCTATGGAGGTTGATGCAGTCACCAAGGGCAAGGGCTATGAGAAAGGCAAAGGAAAGCAAAAAGGTAAGCAGAAAGGCAGTTGGTTCAGTCAGTGGCTCTCTGCTGGTTGGAAAGGTGGTGGAAAATCAAAAGGCAAGAGCAAAGGAAAGAGCAAGTCGAAAGGAAAGTCCAAAGGCAAATACAAAGGAGGTGGAAAGAAAGGGAAATCGAAAGGAAAAGGTCAGAGTCCGGATCGGTGCCGGATTTGCAATGGTTGGGGGC